CCCCATGACAGAGATAAAAAAGTGAAGTCCCTGTGACTTTGCTTCCCCGTATGGGCCACCGTATGTAAGGATGGAAATCTCACTAGTTGCTCATGCCACTGGTGGAGAAAGATTTCTCACACAGAGATAAGGATATATAAAAGTAAAAAGTTTATTTTCCTGAGAAAGAAAGAGGGAGATAGAAAGACAGAGAGAAAGAGAGAGAAAAGCAGGGAGTGGCCATGGCACACAGAGGAAGGAAGGAAGTTCTGGGCCATGAGGCCAAGCAGCTCGCTGTTTTTAAAGGGTAAAGATGGTTTTTTTATCGCTCCTTCTGCAGACTGATAACAGAAGCAGCTGTAAAGCTGTTTCAGGTGTTCTTTATTATTTTCTCTGTGAGGCCAACTTTATCAAAGTCCTTGGAATCTGGTTTTAACAGGAACTGAGGCAGAGAGTTGGAGTGGGTAGCTTGCACCTCTACTGTCTGTTTAGGGATCTTCAAGGCTGAAAAAATGAAACTCTTTGAGATAATGAGTTAGGACACAGGTGGGTTTTTGTATTGTTGTTCTTTTGGGTTTTTGTGGGGTTTTTTTTTGGTTTGTTTTTTGAGATAGAGTCTTGCTCTGTCGCCCCGGCTAGAGTGCAGTGGCGTCATCATAGCTCATTGCAACCTCAGACTCCTGGGCTCAGGCTATCCTCCTACCTCAGCCTCACAAGTAGCTGGGACTACAGGTACATATCAGATGGCCAGCTAATGTTTTTCTCTTTTTAGTAGAGATGGGGTTTTGCTCTTACTTAGGCTGGTCTCAAACTCCTGACATCAAGCAATCCACCCACCTCAGCCTCCCAGAGTGCTTGCATTATAGGTATGAGCCACCACACCTGGCTACAGGTGTTTTAAGTAAACATCAAAGGGAGTAGTTGTGAGTTTTCACTTCAAAGGGGCAATTATATGTTGTGAGTTTATTTCCCTTTCCGTTTGATAGTTTATTTTCCTGTTATATAGGTTATTAGTAAGGCCACCTTTTACCTGTGTTGCTAGCTTATGTCCCAACCTGTTGTTCGGTTGGCTGCTGTTTTCTGCCCTTACATAGTAACAAGGGCAAGCAATGGGTTGCCCAAGGTAATGCTGAGAGACAGTGAGTTGCAGACCTAAAAACTCTTTCCTGCCCTATGTCCTATCCACAGTGCATGGCTCCCTGCCACTCTGCACTGCCTTCTACCAGCCTCCATCCGTGCTCTAACACACCTGTTTTCTATCACCTGTTTTCTAGGAATGCCTCCATGTTTTGATGTTAATTTGACAGGCTCATCACCCTCTTTCCTACTTCTGACTCTGGACTTGGGTTGGAGCTGGAAACCAGCAGCCCATGCTATTTACATCTTGTCAGAATTACCTGTGTTATTATTACTTTTATTATTTATTTGACAGATAAATGTAGACTTCCCAAAGGAAGGCCTCAAAAAATTGGTTTAAGACTCAGAGTTGTTCCTCTCCACGGAAATCTTTAGTAAAAGGTGAAAGATTTATATGATCTGAGGAGAGACCAGAGTATGATTATTATTATTTTTTAGTGTGGTCAAATCTACTGTGCTTTTTTTGGTGATTTCTTTAGTTGTTTTTAAATTGGAAAGTATTTTCTCATCCAGAGACAATTTAGTAGTTTTCCTTTTTTTCTTTTCTTTCTTTTTCTTTTTCTTTTTTTTTTTTTTTTTAGACACAGTCTTGCTCTGTGGCTTATGGGTAGAGTGCCGTGGCATCATCATACCTCACAGCAACCTCAAACTCCTGGGCCAAATCATCCTACTGCCTCAGCCTCCCGAGTAACTGGGACTACAGGTGCACCACGACGCCTGGCTAATTTTCTATTTTTAGTAGAGATGGGAGGGTCTCAGTCTTGCTCAGGCTGGTCTCGAACACCTGAGCTCAAGCAATCCTCCCGCCTCAACCTCCTAGAGTGCTAGGATTACAGGCGTGAGCCATCGTGCCCAGCCTGTACAGTATGTTTGAGTTTTAAGCTAAGTGTCCCTATAAAAGTCAAAAAGTTAAAAAATTAAAAAGTTTGTAAAGTAAAAAGTAAGCTAAGTTTAACTTACTATTAAACAAAGAAAACTCTTTCTATAAATTTAGTGTAGCCTAAGTGTACAGTGTTTATAAAGTACTGCACAGTAATGTCCTAGGCCTTCACATCCATTCCCCACTCACTCAGTGACTCACTCAGAGCAACTTCCAGTCCTGCAAGCTCCATTCATGGTAATTGCCCCATCTGGATGGACCTTATTAAAAAATCTTTTATCTTGTATTTTTACTCTACCATTTTTATATTTAGACATGTTTAGATCACAAATACATAACCACTATGTTCCAATTGCCTACAATATTCAGTACAGTAACATGCTGTACAGGTTTGTAGCCTGGGAACAATACCACATAGCCTAGGTGTGTAGTGAGCTGGACCACCTAGGTTTGTGTAAGTGCACTCCAGGATGTTCACCCAAAGAAGAAATTATGTAACAACCCATTTCTCAGAATGTATCCCCATCATTAAGCTATGCATGACTATACATTGAATACAAAAAAATCCATGAATCCTCACTGATACTAATCTTTTTTACAGGGGAATGGTGAGGGGAACAAGCTCTTTACAGAAGAATGCCAACTAGTAAATATAGAAGGAATGATAGAATGAGAAAAGTCCCCATTTTCCAACCACCATATTAATAAATGGTTCAGGCAAGAATCATCAATGAATGCTGAAACCTTTGAGTGGCCCCCTCTCTTCTCCTCTCCCTTCCGTCTCCCCCTCCTCCCCTCTCTGCCCTCCCCTCTTAAAATAAAATAAAATAAAACCTTTGAGTGAAAGATTGTTGGCACGGGATATTTACAAAGTATTAAAGTATCATGCCATAGGTTACTTACTAATTACAAAGAGGAAAAAGTACCTCTACAGTATAGAAGTAAGGTGGACACCATTTTAAGCATATGATCAAACTTATCACATGCCTCCTGAGATATGCTGAGTAGGACATAGCATCATTTACATAATATTTCTGCTCAAATTGTTTATCCTGATCCTTATCATTGCAAGAACAATCAGACAGATCCATATTGAGGGACATTCTGCAAAACAACTGACCTTGAATCTTGAAAACAAAAAAGATTTTAAAACCAGATTATAAGAAAATTAAGAGTTATGATAACTACATGAAATGTATAATCCAACTTAATTGTATTCTGGATTTTAAAAAAGCTCCAAAGGACGTCTTTGGAAAAATTGGAGACATTTAAATATGTACTACATGTTAGCAAATATATTTCTTCGAGCATGATAATTGTATTGTGATTATATAAGAGAACATTCTTCTTAGGGCAATACAGGCAGAAATAGATAGCAGTGAAGTTTTATGATGTCTGCAACTAACCTCCGGATGGTTCAATAACAAAAACAAATGCAAATGTATATTTATACAGAGAGATTAGGCAAACATGACAAAATGCTAACATTGGTTGAGAGGTGAAGACTATTTTTGCAACTTTTCTGTAGGTTTGAACATTTCCAAAATAAAATGATAGGACTGTTAATCTGTGTGGTGGTTACAGATGCATTAAAAGTAAAAATTCAATGTTAAAAAATCATTGAGCTGTACATTTAAGATTCATGCACTTTTTGTACTTTATTGTGTGTATGTTAAACCTTACAAATAAAAGGGGGGGGCAGGACTTAATGGCTCCCTACTCCCATACTGTCCCGGTTTGCTTTTGGAGAAATTCGGTTACCTGGTCCTCTGACCCACCTCGCTGAAAGCACAGTGCCTGGTACACACGAGACTCCCGCGTAGTAGATACCTGTTGAATTAATTAAAGTTCAGCCACACTGTTGTCCCATTTTATCTCATCTTCATTTGCTCCCTTCCCTGACCACCTTCCCTAGTGTAAAACATCTTTGCTTTCCATTTTGGAACATTTACAATTCCTTCAGCCATTCTCCCCTAGTATCCGTGAAAGCCGATCTTGTTGAAGAGAACTCTTATCTAAATTTTCTGGGCTCTTATCTAAATCACCTGTTGAGTCCTACCAGAGAATTATGATGTTGGTAAGAAACTGGAGCTCATAGAGATTACCCAAGGTCACACTGTTAGAACATAGCGGGTCCAGGATTAGAATTTGAGGTTTACTCCGGGACCCGTCCTTTAAACACTCTGGCTATATTGGTTTATCTCTGTTCCCCCATAGTCTGACCACAGTTAAATTTTCAGATTTTGCTTACAGGGGACTGCATTAATTTCTCACAGAAAATACTGTGTTCTTTTACAAGACCTTTTCCAGACCGTGAGCAACTCGGGAACAATTATGACGTCAGTATTCCGTGTGTGTTTGGTAGTAGAAGGCACTCGCTAAAAATTGGTTCGTTGAATGCACCCAGTAAGGAGTGGACATGCCGTGTCCAGCCCCTAAGGGGCGCTGTCCTTGTCCAAGGAGCTGCGCGACCCGCAGAATTTAAGACTCCATCCCTGCGGGGGGCGGGACTCCGTTCGCGGGCGCACGAAGAAGGCGACCCGGCCCCCACCCTCGCGCATGCGCAGCGTCCGCCGGTTTGCCCCGCCCCGCCCCTGTCGGGCTCCCGCCTCCATTCAGGTAGGGGGAGGTCTGCGGGGTAGGGGTTTCACCTAGGGCGGGGCTGGAGGGGTAGTATCAGGTCTTGGGGCTCCATTGTCTGCGAACCCCAACTTCCGATACAACCAGGAGCCGTTCCTGCAGCTGCAGGGGGCCAATTCCTGGGTCTGGGGGCCACCAAGGCGCTGCCCGTGACCAGCACATGCCACCTCTTTTACGTCGCGCCAGTCCTGTGGTCTCCACCTCTGCAGCTTCTGAACCCCTGGCCCTCGTGGTTCCCAGCTGCAGAGTCGGGTGTCCTGGGTAGCTTGAGGACACGGGCGCTGGGCAGGTGCCAAGATCCCAAGCCTGCCGCCTCTCCTCCCCCTTCCGCCGCCCAGCGCTACCCTGCTAGGCTGAGCCGCTGGGTGCCAGAAGCGAGGGGCCTCCCGGAGACTACGTGCGGTCGCCCGCTCCACTTGCGCCTACGCCTTCTGCTCCAGTTGCTTTCCAATTGAGCGGAAAAGCCGGGGGCATGTTGCCGGGGCCCTGGGAAGCTGGACGGTTCGGCACTACAGCCCGAAGCCCGCCTGTGCACTTTCCCGCCCACAGGCCGCCTAGTCTCTCTGGCTGCGGCCCCTGCCAACGTCCCCCAGGTTGGACACCAGACCTTGCAGCCCCCAGCCAGCCAGATGGAAGCCCAGACTGACGTCGCAGGGTAATGGGGACCCAGAGGCAGCTCTGTGTGGCCCCATCGGGACCTCAGCCCTTAGTGGGGCTTTCTTTGTGACACTGTGGGACCCGAAGCGGGGATGGGTCCCCCTAGCTTACAATTCTGCCACTATAGGAAACAGTTACATTCATTGTGTGCTGAGCATTGGGAGTTAACAGGGGTGAGGTCAGCTCTAGAAGGCTTGGAAGTGGGGTGGTTGGAGTATTGTTTAATTGAGTGCGGGTGTGTGGGGGGGTGTGTGTGTATGTAGAAACTAACAGTACAAAGTGCAGTGCCTGGCAACCAGTAAGCTCTCAATAGACCTTCCATGAATGAATGAGAAGGTTTGGTGACTGAGGGAGCAAGGCTGGAGAGGGCAGCTCTGCTCATCCCACCCCTGCCTCCCCTGGGCTCAAGCAGACAAAAGTAATTAGGTTGAGGCTTTAATCACAGCTAGTTTCTCAGGGGCGGACCTGGAAGAGGAGGGAAAGGCAGAAATCCTGGGGACATAGGGTGCTGGCCTTGCTCACAGGCCTGCCTCCCTCTGAGACCCCTTCCACCCCCCACAGTTTGGCTCTCAGTAATCTCTTGTTTTCTTGTCTTCCTCAGGACACTGGGTTCCCTAGGAGCCGCCCCAGGCTTAATGATTGTCCAGAAGGTGGCTATAAAGGGAGCCTGGGAGGCTGGGTGGAGGAGGGAACGGAGGAAAACCTAACTCAGCAGATCTGGACGCTGTGAGAGCTGCAGGCAAGAGCTGTGGGTTGGCGACTCTGTGTTCCAGCTCATAGGGCCTGCTTTTTTCTACCATGGCGGCCCAAGGCTATGGCTATTATCGGGTTGTGATCTTCTCGGCCATGTTTGGGGGCTACAGCCTGTACTACTACAATCGCAAGACTTTCTCCTTTGTCATGCCATTACTGGTGGAAGAGATCTCTCTGGACAAGGATGATTTGGGTAAGTCCTGGAAGGGCAGGGTGATGGACCAAGGGACACAAAACCAGGAGGACACATTGGGTGTTTATGGCTGTGTGTGGTGCACAGGTGTGGAGTGTGTGTGGTGTGTCTACACAGCAGAGGCCGGGGGCCAGTCTGCATGTGCAGGGTGAAGAGACTCTGAGATGCATGTACAGGGGTGTGTGCAGGTGAAAGCTAACAAAGGCTGCTTATCTGGTGTGTGTGTGTGTGTGTGTGTGCATGTGCATGCCTGTGACCCATGTGCCCTCAGAGGCACAGTTTATTCTGAGTGTGTTTGGGTGGGTTCTGAGCATGGTTTTCACACCTGTGTGAGTGCGCACTGAGGCTGCAGGGTGAGTGCTGGCTACTGACATTGTGACTACTGGGGACTGGGAAGTTGGCACAGTGACTTCATGTCTTCTGGCATGCTACCGTTCAGGAGACACAAGGTCCCTGACTCTAATCCTGAACCCTTCACCCCATGTTCAGAGGTGAGGCAACAGAACTGCTAGAAGCCTTGGATTGGCACCCAGGGTGAGGTGGGAAATCAGGCATATGCAAATGCTAGGGAGGGGAACTGCCATGTCCTGCTCCCTTCTTGTCCCCCAACAGCTGCAGCTGAGAAGTCATCAGCCTGGGGCCAGTGCCTATGGTGAGGCAGGAGAGGTAGCAGGCATAACAAGGCCCCATGAATGTCAGGATTGCCATCGCAGGCTCTTCCTGTTCCTCTGGGAAGGAACCTGACTCAACCTGCCAGGCACCCCTACACATCTGACCCCATGCGTTCCTCTACCCGTCCTGTGCTTTTGCACCGGCCGTTAGTCCCCAGGTGTCCTGTTCCCTGCTCCCCTCTCCTGTAGGGCTCATCACCAGCAGCCAGTCGGCAGCCTATGCCATCAGCAAGTTTGTGAGCGGGGTGCTGTCCGATCAGATGAGTGCTCGCTGGCTCTTCTCTTCTGGGCTGCTCCTGGTTGGCCTGGTCAACATAGTCTTTTCCTGGAGCTCCACAGTACCTGTCTTTGCTGCTCTCTGGTTCCTTAATGGCCTGGCCCAGGGGCTGGGCTGGCCCCCATGTGGGAAGGTCTTGCGGAAGGTGAGTGCTTTCAAAGAGCCTGTTTGGACTGGCATAGACTAGGCGATGGATGCCTAGTGAGCATGTGGGAGCACCCCTTCTTACCCCTCACCTCCACCCCCAACCCATAGCAGGTTCCTCGGGAGTTCCCGGTCAGCTCCTATTGCTTGTCAAGATATTTTAGGAGTCTGAGAGTGGTGGGATCAGGTGGCAGATGAAGGAATTGCCCTGCCAAGTAGAAGCGCCCTCTCTCTCATCCCTGTAATGTGAGCTTCTGGGTCTGCTTCACCTGATCCCCACTCTCTCACCATGATATGGGCTCTAGGCTGGGTACTTACTTTGTCCCCATCCCACCCCACCCCACAGTGGTTTGAGCCATCTCAGTTTGGCACTTGGTGGGCCATCCTGTCAACCAGCATGAACCTGGCTGGAGGGCTGGGCCCTATCCTGGCAACCATCCTCGCCCAGAGCTACAGCTGGCGCAGCACGATGGCCCTGTCTGGGGCACTGTGTGTGGCCATCTCCTTCCTCTGTCTCCTGTTCATCCACAACGAACCTGCTGATGTTGGACTTCGCAATCTGGACCCCACTCCCTCCAAGAGCAAGAAGGGTGAGCCCCCACCTAAGTCGACCACTGGGGCACCTTCGTTCATCATTCATTGGGCAGATTTTTGTTGAGGGCCAGCTGTATGCCTGGTTCTGTGCTAGCCAGTGGATGTAGGGGAAGGAACGGGTAGGGCGGGTGGGAAGTAAACAAAACTCCATCCCAAGAGGCAGTTAAGTACCAGGAAAGTGGCAGGGCCACGTGTTGTGATTCATGTTATACCCTACAACAGCACAGACTTCCCTGTCCTGGATAGCATCCTAAGCTTAAGTGGCACTTGGGTGCCCTCCTCCATCCACCCTGGTCCTCAGTTTCTCTTTCATTCATTGAGGCTTGCAGCAAGTGGGGGAGAGGAGAGCAGTGGGGTGAGGGGATACTCTTCATGCTGATCCTGGCTGTGCTGATGAACTCTGCCCCTGTGGCTGGTTAATGAATGGTGGGGGCTCAGGTGGGGGCAGGGCAGCAAGGGCAGAGCCTGAGGACTGGCCTCTTTCCATCTCCCCAGGCTCCATGAAGGAGGAGAGCACCCTACGGGAGCTGCTGCTGTCTCCGTACCTGTGGGTGCTCTCCACTGGCTACCTTGTAGTGTTTGGAGTAAAGACCTGCTGTACTGACTGGGGCCAGTTCTTCCTTATCCAGGAGAAAGGACAGTCAGCCCTTGTGGGTAAGATGAGTGTTGGGACAGGGTGGGCATAAGGAGCAGGAAGGAACCAATGCAGGGGATGGGAAAGTCAGGTTTTATCCCTTTAGGGAGAAAGGCTGCTTCCATTTATCTAACTCTTTATTCTTCCCTGAGGCCAGGCACTACTCAGGCCAGTCACCCTTGGGGACCCTGTACCTCTCCAGGTTCAAGCCACTGTGGGACAACCCCAAAGTGTAATACCCTTCCATCCTTCCCTTCCCACCACAACTCCCCACTGCAGGTAGCTCCTACATGAGTGCCCTGGAGGTTGGGGGCCTTGTAGGCAGCATCGCAGCTGGCTACCTGTCAGACCGGGCCATGGCAAAGGTGAGTGGGCAGAAGGGACAGGAAGGAGAAGGGTCCCTTTGAATCTTCCCAGCATGGCTGGGACAGACACTGGAGAGATGGGAGTCCTGGGGCACAGGCAGGTTGGCATATGCTGGTTTAGACTGGGTGAGGTGGGTATGATTCCAGGCTACTCTTAGCTTTCCTGGGGATATGGAGGTGAGGCTCTTGCAGGAAGAGTTTTAAGTGATGTCAAGGAGAGCCAGAATTCCTCTCAGCCTAGCTGTAGCCTTCTCTACAGCCCTAGGAAAACCGGGGCGGGAGCAGACTAGGTGCAGCTCCCCAGCACGTGTCCCAGGCCTGCCCCAGGGTGGAGGAAGGGATGTTGTGGAGTTTGGCCTCAGAACATAATGGGCAGGTCCCAGGGCCTCCCAAGGCTGCCCAGAGCCAAGAACTGTCGTGGGGTTGCCAAAGACCTGTCAGCAGGGGCCCTGCTGTGTCAAGAGTCCAGGGGTGGGGGTTCTCTGCCCTGTTCTGAGGGCCTGACATTGCTGGGACTGTCTCCATAGGCAGGGCTGTCCATCTACGGGAACCCTCGCCACGGCCTGCTGCTGTTCATGATGGCTGGCATGACAGTGTCCATGTACCTCTTCCGGGTAACGGTGACCAGTGACTCCCCCAAGGTAATTAAGGAGGGCCTGGCCCCTGGCAGAGCAAGAGCTGCTGACTCCCTCTCCCTGGCTCCAGCCTGGGCCAGTCCTTTCTCTGCCTCTCACATTTCCCTTTTCAGTTGATTGTACTACGGTTCCTCTCTTGTTTCTCGGTTCTCCTCCTCCACTCTCGGCCGGGTTTTCTTCTCTTCCCTGTGCTCGTCTAGGATGTTGCTTTCTGGACTTCGGCTCTTCACCCTCTTGCTGAGCTCACAGGCTTTACGGAGCACGAGGTGCCTTAAAGATATCTCTGGTTTTTCTCCTGGTCTGTCTCACCTTTGTCCTACCCCTCTGCCTGGCCCCTAGGCGGTCCACCTTGCATAAATTCTGAGGATAGCACTAACTCAGAAGACTTCTGTCCCTCCTTCCCCTGCCCACCTAGGCCCTTGGGTTGGCTCAATGTGGAATCTACTACTACAGTCCCATGTTGTCAGTTGTATTTGCGAGTTGGGTGAGGGAGGCTATTACTGTCCTTTTACTACTATTGCTTCTTCCTGGGGGCCAAGCATTGTTCTCTCCTTTGGCAGGGGTGGGTAGGGAGATAGGCTTTCTGACTCTGAATGCCACTCCACATTACTTTTGCAGCTTTGGATCCTGGTGCTGGGAGCTGTGTTTGGTTTCTCCTCTTATGGTCCCATTGCCTTGTTTGGAGTCATAGCCAATGAGAGTGCCCCTCCCAACTTGTGTGGCACCTCCCATGCCATTGTGGGACTTATGGCCAATGGTAAGTGATACCTTCTAGAATGTCTACCTCACTCCCACTTGTGCCTTGCACATAGGCCAGCTAGAGGCCAGAGCAAGCACCACTGGCTCTAGCCTCAGAACCGCTCAGGCTCTTCCCCTTCTTCCTCACAGTGGGCGGCTTTCTTGCCGGGTTGCCCTTCAGCACCATTGCCAAGCATTACAGCTGGAGCACAGCCTTCTGGGTGGCTGAAGTGATCTGTGCAGCCAGCACGGCTGGCTTCTTCCTCCTGCGAAACATCCGCACCAAGATGGGCCGGGTGCCCAAGAAGGCTGAGTGAAGAGTGAGGCTCTGGAGTACCACCCCACCTGGCCATCCCCCTGCACACTGTGGGGGAAGGGAGGGGGCTGCTCGGCTAGCACTGAAACTTCGACTTTCCCTTTCTGCGCCTTTTCCCTTGCCCAGGTGGTGCTGGAAGTTAGTAGTGGCTAATGAGGTCCCAGCTCCCCATCCTATGCTCTACTTAAAAGATAACATTTATCCGTGGACTCCATTAGCTTCTATTTCCTGCCTTTAGACAAATGGGAAACTTCTGCAGTCAGGGAGCCTCCTGTACCCTTCTTCCTTTCCTGGACCCTGTCCTGTTCCCATCCTACCCCATCCCCACCTGAGGTGAGGCTGTTCCTGCAGTTACAAGACACTAATGGCCCGTGACTTCTGCTCTGCCCTAAGTCCTCTCAGCAGTGGGCAATTGCTATTGCCAATACCTCAGACTCCAGGGGAAGAGAGGAGGCCATTACTCTAATACCGTGGGCACAGTTAGGGGGAATGGGTGGGAGGGTAAGATGACTTGTTATAGAAGATTAAACTAGATTTGATACTAAACAGTCAGTGATCCATTCTTTCAAAGGGGTACTATGAGCCAGAGACAGCTTTCTTAGGAAATAGTGCAAGACCTGCTCTTTCTACCCTAAAAGGAAGAGACTTCATTTCCCTGGAATAGGAAAGCTAAAGTGTAGACAGACTTCTTTAAGCTCATGCCTCCTCTGCCTTCAACTGAACACTGTATAGTTGAATGATCATTTTAGAGATAAAGCTATTGGGTTTTGGGCAGGTTAAATAACTTGACGGAGGGAGGCAGTATGTATAGTAAGTGGTTCAATGAATGTACAGTCAGAAAGCCTGGGTTCAAACTCAGGCTGTCAGTAACCAGCTTGAAGACTTTGAAGCAGAGAGTTTGCACCTTGCTAAATCTTGTCTGTAACAGAATGTACCGTCTGGGGTTAGGGTAAAGATTAAATGAGATAAAGCAGTAAAGCCTGATTCTAAGTACTTGATAAATGTTCCATCAACACCATCACCACTACCACTCCCAAGACCCCAGGAAATCAGCAGCAATTCTGGGACTAGACATTCAAAGTCTTATGTTCATTTACTTTTTTATTTTATTTTTCTGAGACAGTCTTGCTCTGTCACTCCAGCTAGAGTACAGTGGCGTCATCATAGCTCACAGCAACCTCAAACTCCTGGGCTCAAGCGATCCTCCTGCCTCAGCCTCCCAAGTAGCTGGAACTACAGATGCATGCCACGAAGCCCTGCTAGTTTTTCTATTTTTTAGTAGAGGGTCTTGCTCTTGCTCAGTCTGGTCTCAAACTCCAGAGCTCAAGCAACCCTTCCAACTTGGCCTCCCAGAGTGGTAGGATTACAGATGTGAGCCACCAGGCCCAGCCTTTTTTTTTTTTTTGAGGCAGGGCTTGGCTATATTTCCCGGGCTGGAGTACAGTGGCACAATCACAGCTCACTGCAACCTTGAACTCATGGGCATTATGTTCATTTATTTAATGAACACATACTTGTTGCATTTTCCATTAGAATGTAATATCATCTTTCCAGAATTCTTTAACCATTTTAGCCTCCCTTCCTGTGCCTTTCCCTGAGAACCATCAATTAGGATAGCAAACACTGGGATCAAAGAAATATTTATTACATCATTTATGGACCTACCTCCTCCATAAATAAATCTGTACAGGGTTGGAAAGTAGGACCATGATATATACAGAAGAAAAGAGCATGGTGTTAAGGCTCAGGGACCAGTACATGTTATCAGGCTCAGCATTCATTTTCAAGTGCACTAACACGGCTGCTGGGATCTCCATCCGAGTGGAAACAGCAGGACCCCTGCTGTGGGAACTCTCAGAATTTGGGGGTCCAAGGCAGGTTTGGCCTATGACCCAGGTCCAAAAGTCCCAGCCTTCTCTGCTACCTCCAGGGCAAGCTTCAGGTTCTGGTCAAAGAGTTCACACCTAAGCCAGGCCCACGAGACAGTAAGAAAAAACTGTTAGGCCTGAGGCTCTATCCCCACTGAAGCCAGGGGAAACTTTGCTTGAGGGACACGAGCCCCAGAACCCCAAGGAAAGGCTGGGCTTTATTTATAAATAAATAAAAGGCTATTCACTGTTGTCTTATTTACAAGTAATATTCTATTACACTCCAAATGACTTTGGGTAAAGCACACAGGGAGGGGCAAGGAGGCTTTGACCAGTATCTTGGGAATGGGACCATTTACCTGATGGGCATCTCCAGGGAGTAGAATGGATTCTTGAGGGCAAAGTCTGAGTAAATCTCATAAATCTTTCGGAGAAGGGAATCTATTCCAGCTTGCCTAGGATCTGCCAGTACCACAAACTTGATCCCTGTAGAGAGACCAGGAATGGTAACTGAAGGCTCAGAATGCAGCAAATAATGTCATCTTGGTATTTGTACAGCATTTTCAAGCTTCAGAAAACACTTTCATAAGCCCATTCTTTATTTTATCCTTATTGCTACATAATGCAGAAAGGCAAGATTTTGAATCTAGATGAGACTAGAGACGTTAGAGAAGTGAAGTGACTTTACCATGTCACCCACCAGATGGAGACTAGGCTTTAAGTTTTAGCTCTGCCGCTGACTTCCTATTTTGGAGTCCCTCAGCAGAAACAATGGGGACAAACTCAGGCAGTTTTAAACAGTCTAAATTAGGGGAGTGAAGCAATGATACTCTCAATCCAAAGGCCATTTCCACGTGGCTTTCAAATTTCATTCTGGAACACCACTTTCCAAAACGTGTGCAATGTGAAATGCATTGAGTTTTATCTGAACACAGATAACTAGTGCTGAGCATGCTGGGTGACGTGGACAAAATCAACTTCAGAGTAAATATTGGCTTTGTATTCACAAAACAAACAAATAGATGTGTCTGTAGAACCATCCCAGCAAAAGCCAACACTGCCCCCCTCCTTGCTCACCAAAGCTGTCTTTGGTTAATCCCTTCCCCCAACCTCCCCCACTGCATCCCTCTGGCCTATCTGGAGATGCATACCTGTCAGTGTCTGGAAGCAGTGCAGTTTGAATGTGTCCGTCTCTAGCATCTCAATGCCTGAGCTTCCCTGTTCAGGAGACAGCTGGGAGCCGATGGCAAAGAGCCTATATGCAAAGAAGGCAAAGTTGGGAGTGTACCCCACTGCTGTAAGGGAGGAGTGCCTCATAAACTTTTCCACTGAAGTGACACTATTTGCTGAGGAGTTCACATGACAGCCTGGGACAGTAAGGAAAGGTAGTGTGAGCTGTTTGGCAGCAGTGTCAACATTTCTTTTAAATTCATTTGAATTCTGCATTTATTTTACATTACATACTTTAACTATAGGACACTTTACATGGAAAAGTTTGGGTAAATGGAGCTGGGCGTGGTGCCTGTAATCGTAGCCACTTGGGAGGCTGGCGTGGGAGGATCCCTTGAGACCAGGAGTTCCAGATCGGCCAGGGCAACACTGAGACTCTCTTTACATATTATAAATAAACTCAACTTAGGATAAAATGAACACTCTGGGAATATGTGCCATGCTTATTTAGCTCCTAAGTATAGGCCAGCATATCTCATAACATAGTTGGCAGCAGAAAAAGTTTTTTAAAGATCTTGTAGCTCTTCGCTCAGAGCAACGCCTTTGGGTAAAAAGTAAACAATATAAAAAAGATCACTTAGTTCAATTGGCTTTCTTTAAAGAAATTAAGGCTCAGAAAAGAGAAGCTGACTTAAGCAAGATCACATCACTGCCAGTATTACCTAAAACCTAGACACAATGGATCAGTCGTTTTTCTTTTCATAACACAAGAACCGACGAGTTAAGAGGAAGTAGAGAAAGATAAGCACTGTTGCTCAGGAGACGGGGGACTTACGAGTGGAACATGGAGGCTAGCATGAGCTTCTCATTAGAGGTGAGGCGGGGTCGGCCGAATCGAATGGACACCGGGTAATTAGCAGGGTTACCCAGATACTCCAGCACCTCTTTCCCGTCGGCTGTGTACTTGCCGTTCACGTCCATGCCATTGATAGCCAGCACTGCATGGCCCACTGCAGGGGTGAAGCTAACGGTGAGCGAAGCTCCAGCCCCGGGGATTCCGCCGAGGGGACAAGGGACCCGGCCCGACCCCCATACCTCCCCAGCCCTGCATCTACACACCAGCCCACTTCGCAGCACCGGGGCCCGCCCCCGAGGCCCGAGCTTAGCCCACCCCGGATGCCGTCGCGCTGGCCAAAAGCAACCAGCACACGCTCATCGTGTAGCTTGAGCAGAAGATCCAGCGGGTAACTGAAAGTTTTCTCAGCCTCAGCCCGTGGCGCGTAGCTGTCCAATTGGTAAATCAGGCCGCCAGCTTTGTTCACCACATACACACTAAAAATCGCCATTACTGCAGCCGCCGCCCGGGCACTCGGATGCTGCTCCGCCCCGGAACGGCACTCACAGTCCCCGCCCCCGGCCCCACCCCACCTTTCTCCTCCCCGCCCCGCCCCGTCGCCACCTATGGCGCTTGCGCACTTGAAGCGACATTCTTGGTCATTAGTAACGCCAGAAAGTCAGATGTGGGACCAGGTAAAGTGCTTTTCCTGTCTCCGTGCCGGAAGACAGCGCTACAGTACCCTTCACAACTAGCGGCAAAGTGCAACAAACTGGGGGCAGTGTTTAGGAGGCGCGGCTTGGGAGTTGGAGTCCACTTCATCCTCCCCTCTGGCTAGAGAACCAATTCTTCGCTAGAGAACGTATTGCGCGTGGCTCCGCCCCTTGCCCCGGAAGTACTCATGGCAGGCGGAGATTTCTGGGCCTGTTCTTGAGCAGCGTTTCCTTTTTGTCCGACATCTTAACGAGCCTGCGGTAGTTGCAGCGCTTCTCCAGGCTTCGCGATGGTGAGCGTCGAGGGCGCGACTCGGCGGGGTTCTGAGAGTGGGGCGATGCTAGGGTTCAGCGGAGACAGCATGGCCGGGAGAGCTCCTTGGCCTGCCGGGCTGGGTCACTGGGCGGGCATGGGTTTTACTTTACTACACATGTGCTCTGGTACGGGCGTTTGCGGGGCTGGGGCTGGGGCGTATTAGGGGAGCTTGGGGTTACTTTATGATCAGATTCCATTCCCCCTCGATTCCTTCAGCCGCCCAAGGACGACAAGAAGAAGAAAGATGCCGGAAAGTCGGCCAAGAAAGACAAAGACCCAGTGAACAAATCTGGGGGCAAGGCCAAAAAGAAGGTAGGAGTGAATCTCGCTCTAAGAGTGAGGGAGAGTGGGGGAGCTCTCTCCTAGCCTTTTAGTATAGCAAGTGGCTACCGTCGTCATCTTCTTTTTGTCTACTCTCTGTGGGATCAGAATTCATTCCTTTTTTTTTCTTATTTGAAGGATGAGGTAGTATATATTAAGGTTATGGAAAGCAAACAAATGTGTATAAAGTGTTTGCTCCAGTGCTTAGCACGTTATTTTTAACAGATTCTGTGGGGCTTGGGCCATATTCCAAAGCCCCAAAGATGTATCGTTTGTTTATGTAATCTGTAATTTATCTTTGATAATGGGAGCGATTTCTCTTGACACAGATTGTTGGGAGGGAAAGGGTGCTTCTGCCAGGAATACTAACTTATTGTTTTGTTTGGTGAGCAGAAGTGGTCCAAAGGCAAAGTTCGGGACAAGCTCAACAACTTAGTCTTGTTTGACAAAGCTACGTATGACAAACTCTGTAAGGAAGTTCCCAACTATAAGCTTATAACCCCAGCTGTGGTCTCTGAGAGACTGAAGATTCGAGGTTCCCTGGCCAGGGCAGCCCTTCAGGAGCTCCTTAGTAAAGGTGAGGAGTGTGTTGTATTGCTGTGCTTTTGCAGGTTAAATTGTCTCAACCATGTTAGCAATCTTAAGTGCTTTTACAGGAAAAGCAGTTGGAGTTTTTTTTAAAAAGGTGTATGGCCTGACCATTGGCTGTTAGTAATATAATTCTAATGTTT